AAAGGAAATCTTGAAATGTTTTGGACATATATATGTCATCATTTCGAGGTTGATAGATGTACATTCAAAACAGCACATTTCTGTTTAAAAAAGATCGTCAAGGAGGCGAATTACAGTAAAAATTCTTTATTTCTTGAAGTGGAATAGCTGGATTTAGTCGAGCTCTGAACAAGTATGAAATATGAAAGAAAGAAGAATATATACTGATTACTTAAGTCGATCCAGTGCTTATGAATAATTTTAAAATCTGACATTAAAATGCCACCATTAGTTTGCTGGTTGATTTATGCAGATTCATAGTTACATATGTAATATAGTGTTTACTTATGCAAATACACTGTAACAGATGCAACATAACTGATTCTGTGAATAAAAAAAAATGCAACATCCAAGTGTATTGCTCAGGACAGAGAAAGTGAAAATACGAGTTAGTTGGAGAGCTTAATTCTTAGGAAATTTCGAATCGCTATGGCTTATAACTAATACGTGTTTAAAAATGGCCTTCTTTTCCAAGTCTCAATAGATTTCGCAGGAATTATCAGGGGTGCCAAACTGGAGAGATTTACGTTATTAGAAAATTAACTGTAAGACACGTATATCATTGTCCAATATTTTGCTATAGATTAATTGATGTTTGCGAAGTTCCAGCTTCGCCCGGGCCTTCTGGCTATGGCCCGTTTTGCAATGGGTGACTTTTGAAAGCATATTGCACGTGACTGCGAACTTGTAGTCACTTCATTTGGAGTAAAATAGAATTATTTCCTAACCTTTCAAGTTTCACTGTAAGGACACCTTATTACACTGGTATCTACTTAGACTTTACTTCGAACTTTCCAACCGCCTTTTTTCCCTTCACAACACAGAACTATTAACCAAGAGTACTTCACAGTAACGAGAGAATTAGTAATTCATAATTCACCGTGATTCTCTGTTCAAGATTATCCTTAACCCCCACATTAAGCCATGAAATAATAAATAAATAAATAACAATAATAGAAAATAAACAGAATAATAAATAGTTATATACCGTAAAACGTTGACCTCGAGTGGAAATTAGTAGTAACCCTCTCCTTCCCGCGCCAGTTCTGAAGAAACGCCGAGATTCTGCGTTCTACTTGCACCTGTCCCGTGTTCGCTAAGGCCAGGCGATGATGCATCCAGGAGCTCGCATCACTGACTCGTATGAGAGGCTGAGGAGGCACTGTTAGCGCTGCCAGCCGTAGCGCGAGGGCCGATTTATGGAGAATTTTTCTTTCAGTTATTACAGAGGCATATGTATAAAGTACAGAAGAGAAATTCATGAACTTTTCGTCTGAGGATTCTTTTTTTCCAGTGATAATGACGTTGAAGCTAGAGATGGAGATGTCACTGAAGCTGGTGCTAAAATTGCCGCTGAAGTAGACGCTAGAGGGTCTTAGAGATAGCGCTGAAGCAAGTACTGACATTGCCGCTGAAGTAGGCGCTGAAGCAGGTACCGAAGCAGGCGCTGAAGCAAGTAGTAAGACTAGTGGGACCTGTTGTGGGGCATTATCTATCCACATCTGTCTCCTCGTCAAGGAGCTATGTGTGTGTGTGTTTACATTTTTCTGTCATTTCATATTCGTAGAATGAAGAATCTACAATGTGTTCTTACCTGTGTAGAAGCGAGCGACCTCTTTCCCGTTAAGAGGCGGTTTCTTTGGTCCGTTTCTGGTTACTTGGAAACGGCATACGCAGAGCACACACACATACACATACACACACACACACACGCACACGTGTGTGTATACACTATGTACATGTCTGCATGTATGTATATAATGATCATTCCCATATACACCTGTTCTACCAACATCTCTTATGTACTGTACAGTGGCAAAATGTGGACATCATTTGCGAGGTATTTCATTTTCATAACAATAACACTTCTTTTCGTTTTTTCGGTTAATCACCCAGAGTTCGAAACTCGTGCTCTCTTATTAGGAACGATTTCTTTATAAATACTAGCGCGGTTTTTTCCAGTCTAAGGTACAAAAAGCATAGTATAAGCACGCGGTAAATCTACAATGGCATGTGACATGGAGTATTTTATGTACTTTAAATTTATATATTATTTTCATATACTAAAAGGGTAGTAATCCTGGCAGACAAAACGTAATTCAACGCTAGACTCGAGAATGACAGAGAAGGATCGCCTAACGTCACCACGTGGCGATCGTCGGGTAGACTTTAATAAATCTACTCTGGAAGTTTTTCTTTTTTCACTGTTTTGTACTTAGATTCTATATCCCGTGCATGGGATTTCAATTTCATTTCAGCCAGTTCCTGATGACATGGCTGGGCACCTCTTAGACTAGTTCTTAGAAGCCTAAGAATTGCGGTTCATTCACCCGGGGATCTCGTATCCCAGTGAAAACAGTGCACTTCTCTCCAGCAGCTGCGGGGGTACTAGCTTTCACAGGAATTCAGCAGTAACCCAGGGATATCCGGAGTGATATGGGGAGGAAGCTTAATCCTCGGGTAATAAATCAAGCTAAGGCTACGACAGGGTCTGTATGAGTATGTTAAAAAGACCTTAGGCTACGGCACCACCAAATACGTACGTTCCCCCGATCACGTCCGTCTGTACACCTGCCTATCCAGACGTGGCGTCACCGGAAGTATTTGAAGGCGGACAGATCATGGAGGGAGTGGTTGAGCCTTAGCTAAATCTCTGTTGAATAGATCATGCTTGGGTATAAAAGAGTTTATTTTCATGACAACGACTCGACAAGAATGAGGAAAGGAAAATTCCATGCACTTTCATAAGATACAAACATTTGACGTGTAGGGCTAAATGCAGTATGTTATTGCAGATAACTCTAGGTAATGTAATTCATGACTTTCTATATTAATGATGCGAGACAAGAGTATGTAATTTGACATTTTCCATCTGACCTAATTTGTGTTCAAAAACACACTGTACACGCGGTAAAGATCAAAATGCTTTATTCGTGGGTCGAGCAGCCAGAGCACCGGCGGGGCTGTTGCGTTACTGCCATCGATGCCACTGTATTAAACTTTATGTTTGTGTATTTACTTTCATGACATAAGGGCTTTCTCTCCATTTATATTCAACATTCCATTAAATATTGTTAATGGTATCGTGGGCACATATGTGTGTGTGTGTGTGTGTGTGTGTGTGTGTGTGTGTGTGTATATATATATATATATATAGATAGATATATATATGCATACATATATATACAATATGTACATACGTATATATACAATATGTATATAAATATATACACATATATACATATATATGTGTGTGTGTGCATAAATATATATATATATATATATATATATATATATATATATATATATATATATATATATATATAATTATATATATAATATACATAGAGGGGAGAGAAAGAAACAAAGACAGACAGACAGTTAGATAGACATAAATAGGCATACACACTCGCCTAATCAGATACACTCTCGCAAACACATATGGAAAGCACCTGTACAATTTGCATAGATCATTACATACACACACACGTGGAAAGCAAGTATACAATTTGCACAGATCACGATTAAATGGATAAACAGCGTTTTAATGATATGTTAACATGTTCTAGACTGCATCTGCATCATTTATCTCTGGGAACTAAATCAGGCAAGGTGTCAGTGACGTTATTAGTTTCCTGATTATACAGTGCAGAGGAATGTCCAACGTCCTTAGTAAATTATTCATCACTGCAATAACCACATCCGTTTTTTGTTTTTGTTTGCGTGTGGGGGGGGGGATGGCAAGACGGTGATATTGTCATCGGAAGTACTTAATTTATAAGTTCTAAGTATTCGATAAAATACAAATTCCAAAAGAAATTGGATTATGGTATAACTTATCCAAACAGTTGCATGATTCAGTTATTAAAAAAATAAGTATGTTCTCACTTATCAGCTAATAAAATAGTGGACTACTGTTCTCTTAAGTGAATCGCTGTTTTTTTCTTTCTTTCTTTCTTTCTTTTAAATATATATATATATATATATATATATATATATATATATATATATATATATATATATATATATATATATATATATATATATATATATATATATATATATATATATATATATATATATATATATATATATATATATATATATATATATATATATATATATATATATATATATATATATATATATATATATATATATATATATATATATATATATATATATATATATATATATATATATATATATATATATATATATATATATATATATATATATATATATATATATATATATATATATATATATATATATATATATATATATATATATATATATATATATATATATATATATATATATATATATATATATATATATATATATATATATATATATATATATATATATATATATATATATATATATATATATATATATATATATATATATATATATATATATATATATATATATATATATATATATATATATATATATATATATATATATATATATATATATATATATATATATATATATATATATATATATATATATATATATATATATATATATATATATATATATATATATATATATATATATATATATATATATATATATATATATATATATATATATATATATATATATATATATATATATATATATATATATATATATATATATATATATATATATATATATATATATATATATATATATATATATATATATATATATATATATATATATATATATATATATATATATATATATATATATATATATATATATATATATATATATATATATATATATATATATATATATATATATATATATATATATATATATATATATATATATATATATATATATATATATATATATATATATATATATATATATATATATATATATATATATATATATATATATATATATATATATATATATATATATATATATATATATATATATATATATATATATATATATATATATATATATATATATATATATATATATATATATATATATATATATATATATATATATATATATATATATATATATATATATATATATATATATATATATATATATATATATATATATATATATATATATATATATATATATATATATATATATATATATATATATATATATATATATATATATATATATATATATATATATATATATATATATATATATATATATATATATATATATATATATATATATATATATATATATATATATATATATATATATATATATATATATATATATATATATATATATATATATATATATATATATATATATATATATATATATATATATATATATATATATATATATATATATATATATATATATATATATATATATATATATATATATATATATATATATATATATATATATATATATATATATATATATATATATATATATATATATATATATATATATATATATATATATATATATATATATATATATATATATATATATATATATATATATATATATATATATATATATATATATATATATATATATATATATATATATATATATATATATATATATATATATATATATATATATATATATATATATATATATATATATATATATATATATATATATATATATATATATATATATATATATATATATATATATATATATATATATATATATATATATATATATATATATATATATATATATATATATATATATATATATATATATATATATATATATATATATATATATATATATATATATATATATATATATATATATATATATATATATATATATATATATATATATATATATATATATATATATATATATATATATATATATATATATATATATATATATATATATATATATATATATATATATATATATATATATATATATATATATATATATATATATATATATATATATATATATATATATATATATATATATATATATATATATATATATATATATATATATATATATATATATATATATATATATATATATATATATATATATATATATATATATATATATATATATATATATATATATATATATATATATATATATATATATAT